CCGCGGCGGGGCAGGGCGGCGCGGCGCGGGGCTTCCCCCTGTCAGGGCCGGCCGCTTCGCCGCCGCTCCCCGCGCTTCACACACACGCACGCATGTCTGCACACATGCACGTGTACGCACGCATGCACACACGTGTCTGTACGCACGTGTACATGTACACACACCTGCACACGCGCGCATGTATGGACACACATGTACGTGTGCACACATACACATATATGGACACATGCATGTGCACACATGTACGCATGTGCATACACATCCATGGACACACGTACGTGTACACACAGACACATGTATGTGCGCACATGTACGTGTACACACTCATGCACATACATACACATCCATGGACACACATGTATGTGTACACACACATACACACATATACACTCATACACATGCGCATACATACACATGCATTGACACATGTACGTGTACACACAGGTACACAGATGTGTGCATGCACACACATGCACATGTACACAGGGTTCAAATTACACTTTGACACTGAGGGCAAGGGTCTGCAAAAAAAACTGGGCTGCCCATCACAATACCCTAATAAATTTGGAGCCCCCTCCCCCCAGATTATGATTTTCAAATTTTACAGGGGGGCTCTCATCTCTTAGGGGGGGCTCAGCCCCCTCCCTCTCCAAACTCCCCCATAATTTGAACCCTGCATATACACATGCACATATACACATATATACAAACACACACAGACATACACACACATATATACATGCACATATATACACAAACACACACATATACACATAGGCATACACACACACAAACATACATATATGCACACATATACATACACACACATATATAGATGCACACATATATACACAGGCATATACACATGCACATATGTACAGTCACATAAATACATGAACACGCACATGCACATACACAAACATACATATACATATACACACACACACACATTCAGCCCTTGCCCTCTTTTAGCCCCACCCCCTCTGCCCCCTGGGTTCTGCACCTCTGGCTGCTCAGGACTGCTCTGCCCTCTGCCCCCGTGCTCCACCATGAGCCCCCTAAGACCCACCTCCCAGTTTAGTGCCCCAAGCTCCCTGGCTGCTGGCCCCGGTTGGGCCCCAAGGGTTCCAGCTGCTGCTGCCCCTGCTTGCATGGTGTCTGCCAAGCCCCTGCCCGGGAGCCAAGGGGAGAGGCATGGAGGTGCTGGTGCAGGGCAAGTGCCACAGCTGTGCTGGTGGGGCTGAGGGGGGGGAGCCCGGGGTGCAGCTGGGCTGGGGCTGCCCCAGAGATGTGGGGGAGGTATGAAGGGACCAGCCACATGTGTAATGTTGCCAGGCTCCCACCTGCTTGTTTCCTCTGTTCATGCCTGAGGGGAGAGCTGTGCATTGACCCACCTTTGCCACCTCCCTAAGGTCTGAGAGCCCGGCTGCCAGGACAGAGCCACAGCACAGGTGCTTGAGGCAGAGTGGGCTCACAAACCATGAGAGGAGACGGTGCCTCTGGTAAAATCAGTGGCTTTCCACACACGCACGCACACACACACAACTGCTGGACAGTGTCAGCAGCATTTCTGTTCAGGCAGCACAGAGGAAACGGGGCTGGAAAGGCCCTCCAGAGGTAACCTAGTGCACGCCCCCCCCCGGCAGAATCACTTCAATCCAAATCCAGACTTGACCTGATGGCTCACTGTAATCTACCTGATTTCTTCCTAAAAACCCTACTCCAGTGGCTGTCAACCCAGGGGTACGCGTACTGCTAGGGGTACTTAAAAGGGTCATAGGGGGTACGCAGAACTGCATGCATGCGTGCAGCTGCAGCGCAGCACATGAACAGCCAGGATGCAGCCTGGCCACATGGAGAGCAACCAGGTCTGGCAGATCTGGCAGGTAAATTTGTTGTGGGGGGAGGGAGTGGGGCAGGGTTAGGGGATGCCCAGCTGGGGTGGGGCATGGGCCTGAGCCATGTGGGGG